CACAGTCGTGTTTAAGGTCAGGGCACTGTGACGGCACCGAACTAGTCAGACCATGTCTTTATGGAGCTGGCTTTCTGCTCCTGAACTCAATAATTCCTATGGAACACTTATGTTCCTATGTTCAGGACTCCAGTGTGGAGGAACTTGAGTGGCCTTCACCAATGGTCAAACCATGTATTTTTGACTTTTTACACAGAACACAGTCATATTCAGTAGGGTTGAGGTCAGGTCTCAGTGCGGGACACTCAAGTTCCTCTACACCAAACTAGTCACACCATGTCTTTATAAAGCTGGCTTTGTGCACAGGGTACAGCCATGTTCAGTAGAGTTGAGGACAGATCAGAGCTCTGTGCAGGACACTCAAGTTACTCTACACCCAACTGGTCAAACCATGTCTTTATGGAGCTGGCTTTGTACACAGGGCACAGTCATGTTTAGTAGGGTTGTGGAAAGGTCAGGACTCTGTGCAGGACACTCAAGTTCCTCTACACCAAACTGGTCACACCATGTCTTTATGGAGCTGAACACAGGGGACAGCCATGCTGGAACAGAAAAGGGTCTTCACCAAACGGTTACCACAAGGTTGGAAGAGCACAATTGTCCAAAATATCTTTGTATGCTGTAGCATGAGCAGCACCCTTCACTGAAAACACCTGAACCATATAACATGGAGAGGTGCCCTCATACTTTTGGCCAAATCGGTAGTTGTAAAGGTCAGATGTCCAGAAACCTTTGGCTATATAGTGTATAGTACTCAGGCACCCAGACAGCAAGTCTTATTCCTTGTATACAATTTACTGTTGGGTCATGAATGATTATAAAAAAGCACAGCACGAAGCATAACAATATAACGAACGCAAGCGAGGAACCGTGAATCGAGAATCAAAAGCAAATATAGCTAAACACAGCGAGGACACGAAACAGTGTTATCGGTGACAGTGTCATAGCAAAAAAGACATATTCATTGTGCATTGTAAAAAGCCGTTGGGATCCGCTGATATCAATAGGCAAAGAGACTTATGCAGCATTTGTAGAAAGTAGAGACTATTCTGACTGTACATAGAAACGTGAGTGAAAAGGGGCGTGAGTGGCGTTGTTTCAGCAGAATATCACAGCATATAGTATAACACTGTAAAGATCAGATACAAATAAGGTTCAATTGGCATAGCAGCCAGCAAAGGGAGCATTCAATCTTGAGGTTTTGAGGAACACAGGGCATAGCATATGGATAACTATGTGCATGATAGGAATATTAGAGGCTTGTTGGCCTCGCGGTCATTGGCTGGATACAGATATGCTAATTACGCCTCCAAATATTGAGGTAAAGGTGCCGATAGATAAGAAATGCTGGTTGATAGATCCAACAACATGCATGCATGGTACGGTTGAGTTTATGCATTTGGCAGAACATCCACAGCGCTAAGGAGTCGTCCCTCTTCATTTATTGGAGGGCACAGCCCAGCCATTCTTGACATGTGGACACCATGCAAATCAAAATGAGGCCAGCTTCCCATAGTGCAGTGGTTCTCAACCTTTCTAGGGCCGGGACTCCTTGGTAACATTTGCCAAGCTTCCATTCTTAATGGATATGATGCGCTAGCACACCAGAGTTCTTTAGAAGTTTACGTGACGTCTTAGGCAACTGGACCTTGGTGATAACTCTTTTGCTTCCTGGAAGGTCCCAACCGTACAATTTAGGGATGCACCAATACTAGTATCTGTGTGGGCTCTCAGGAGGCTATGCGGGCTCTCAGGTGGTTAGTGGGACTCTCTGGTGGCGTCCAGTGCATGCTCTGTGGTGCCCAGTTGCAGGCTCATTGGTGCCCAGTGCGAGCTCTGTAGTGATCAAGCACTCACCTCCCCTCACTCCTACCTGCTCCCCTCTCTCTGACCTTCTACGGCTGCAGTGTCATCTAGGAGAACTGACACTGCTGCGCTAGGAGGGGGCTGAGGAGCCTCTTACCTAGAGCAGCACAAGGCACGTGGGGACCCCCTCAACTGTGGGTTGCGACCCACAGGTTGAGAACCACTGCCATAGTGGCTATACCAGGGCACCTGCTTAGTGCAGAAGGTCCCTGCCAAGGTGCCCCAGCTTCCATTCTTAATGGTTATGATGCGCTAGCACACCAGGGTTCTTTAGAAGATAGTTTACGTGACGTTTTGGGCAACTGGACCTTGGTGATAACTCGTTTGCTCCCTGGACTGCAAGGACCTGCTTCCTGGTCTTGTTGGGTGTAGGGTGCCCCTCTTGTTTTCTTTGCTTATGTCAGGGGTCCACCCTGACTTTACTGGTTTGCAGCATTCTGGCTTGGCTGCCATTTTACTCACCTGTTTCCTTCTTTGCCTGAGCAGGCTCTGGAACATTGCTCACTACTCCCAGGCTCCCTCTTGTGGCCAGACAGGAGAGCATCATCTGAGAGAGTCAGATGGGAGTTTCCTGTCTCTGAGTGATGATGTCACCCCACTCACTATATATAAACCACTGAGTCCAGTCTGACCTTGCCCTTGCGTGGTCTCCCTGCTAGTGCATTCCTGCTGCTCTGAGTATCCTGATTCTGTGTATGACCCGATCCTGGCTGACATTCTCCTCTGGCTCCTGCCCCTGGCTTGTTCCTGACAACGCTGATTTCCTGGCTCCTGCCCCTGGCTTGTTCCTGACAACGCTGATTTCCTGGCTCCTGCTCCTGGCTTGTCCCTGACAACGCTGATCTCCGTGTTCCTGACCTGGCTTGGACGTCTACCCACTCCGTCTCCTGACTTTGGCTTGTTCCGGTTTATGATTCTGCTTGCTCCTGTGGACACTGTTCTTAATAAATATTTTAACTAGCACCTTTTGCTTGTCTGATTTTCATCGTGCTCTGACAGCTTAGAAGTTAACTATCTCCTAAAGGATTTTGGTGTGGCGGCATATCACATCCATTAAAAATGGTGGCGTAAGAAGCTGGGGCACCTTGGCTGGGACATTCTGCACTAAGCAGGTGTAGGTGTGTAGCCACTAGAGGAAACTGGCCTCTTTTTGGTTTTCTGTTCCACCACCTGCCTTGCATCCAAGGTCCTTAAGGTGAGATGGCAGGATTGACTTTCCCAAACTATGTCTAACGTGATTCTCTAGATCATTTTTCGAACCCATGCCTTCAAACAGCGGGATCCTCCCTTGCTTGTCAAAGCTTACTCATCTAAGGTGATGAGAACTCCCTAGGTCTTCTGCTACCAGGCTTCGGTTTTACAGGTTTCTAAATCTTTGACCCCGTCCTTCATCCACACCTTTACCAAGTTCTATCAGGTGAAGGTGCTTGCATTGGTGGATGCCAGCATTGGTCCACACCTTTACCAAGTTCTATCAGGTGAAGATGCTTGCATTGGTGAATTCTAGCCTTGGTCCACACCTTTACCAAGTTCTACCAGGTGAAGGTGCTTGCATTGGGGAATGTTAGCATTGGTCCACCCATTTACCAAGTTCTACGAGGTGAAGGTGCTTGCATTGGTGAATACAAGCATTGGTCCACACCTTTACCAAGTTCCACCAGGTGAAGGTGCGTGCATTGGTGAATGTTAGCATTGGTCCACACCTTTACCAAGTTCTATCTGGTGAAGGTGCATACATAGGTGAATGCTAGCATTGGTCCACACCTTTACCAAGTTTTATCACATCAATGTCCTTGCATCAGTGAATGCTGCCTTTGGTCAAAAGGTCCTGCTCTGTGATGACTTATTTGTTCTTTGGACCACAAGGACCTGCTTCCTTGCCTTGTTGGGTTTGGGCCACCTCTATTTTTCAAAAGCTTTAGGCCATCCCACATGTAAAGAATTATTGTGCTTTGCCCCCTCTAATAAATGAAGGAGACATCTGGAATTTTTTTGTACTCACCATGCAATCCTTTTCTCTGAAGTTCATTGGAGGACATATCTTTCTTCCCCTCTCCTCCTGCCATGTTAAATGATGGAGGGAAGGATTTGGTGTCCCCATTGTTGCCTACAAATGAGCTTTGGAGCCGGTGTAGGTGTATATCAACTAGAGGGAGCTGGCCCATTTTTCATGTGCATAGCGTCCAGTAAACCCATTGTTCAAACCTCCTGTAGTTGACAGCAAGCCCACACATAAAGAATTCCGGTGCTTTGTCCTCTGATGAATCTCAAAATAAAAGATATTCTGGAGAGCACAAAAAAAATCATTTTTTCTCTATGGACCAACAGAAGGAATATCGCTGATCATTTGAAAGTAGATGGCTACGGATTGACTGCACACTGCTTATAGACATCTGTCTATAATTGACTGGATCCGGTGACCATCATTTCACATCCGTGGGCACCTTTATTGTGGTAAGTAGTGATGAGCGAATCGATCAGCAAGCAAATCGGTGAGCTGGCAAACTGCAACCTTGGCCGTCCACCTAATTCACCAAAACTAGGTAATTTTGTAAAATTGTGATTGACCGAGGTGGTCTGAATTTCCAGAATGAATGGAAAGTTAGCGAATTGACAGTTGGATTCGACCATCGCTAGTCCTATGCCCTCAAAACAAATAAGCAAAGTGCCCCTCTTAAGAGCAGATATCACAGTGAGCATAGAGAAACCCGGCAGCCTACAGGCGTTAGCTGGCCGCCGGCTGGACATGCACGACCCGGGCCACAGATCGCATGCACGTTCGTATCAGGCAAATGTGCGAGTATGCGCCTATGGGGGAGGAGAAGGAGGAGGAGAAGGAAGGGAGGAAGAGGGGAGGAACAATTTGGAGACATCCCTGGCGCCAGCCTATTTGGAGGAAAAAGGCTCATAGAAGGCTCAGGCAGGGGATGTCTGCCACAGTCAAGGAGGACCTACAAAAATGTGAACGTTCCCTAACCTGACCATGAATGGATTCATCAAGTGAACGTCCTCCTAGATCTGTAGGAACCTTTAGACATCTTAAATCAAAAAACAAAAACAGTAGGTGATACCTTGAGAAGAAACAGGTAACATGTCCCACACAAGTTAGGAATCAAAAAGGAACCTTTCTTTAAGGAATCATTTTGGAATCATTCCCTTGATTGATGATTCTCGGTTGACATAGGTCGCCCAGTACACCAGATTGAAGATGGCGAACAGGACGGGGAAGACGATGCGGGAAATCTTGTCGATGCGGCTGACGCTGTTGTAAGTCTTTTTGCCATCCAATGGCGTCAGCTCGGCGTGTGGCGGAGATAGAGGCGGGGGTGGGAGTTTAGCGTTCTTCGCAATTGTGGCCAAGGCCGGCTCCTTGATGTTCAGCATGTAGGTGGTCCCCACTATGTTGTAGCTGGTGTTGGACTTTCTCGCCAGGATGATGGGCTCCTTTATCTAGGGAGAGGAGAGAAAAAACATTATGCCGGGCCAATCGGCGCTGTCACATGGGGAGTCCATGGCACTATGTAGGGATTGAGTGGTGATAGAGAAACAAAAAGCTCAGTATAAACCTCTGGGGAGGTCTACATTTAAGTCAGCTTAAGCAGCAAAATACATTGCGGGTGCTTCAAAACAAAAAGAGTGCAAAGCCTTACCGGTCTTTTTCCTTAGTAAGCCACCACAGCCTCAGTAGTAAAGCCTGCGCCCTGCCAAACACACACATATACACTATATTGCCAAAAGTATTGGGCCCCTTGCGGCAAAGGGCGGAGCCAACCCAATACTGAACCCTACGGACTAAGACTGGGAGGCCATTAAAGTTCATGTGCGTGTAAAGGTGTCCCAATACGTTTGGCAATATAGTGTATATTGACTCTTCCTTACCTTGAAAGTCTGACCTTCCTGAGCTCTTTTCCCATCCCAGGCCCAGCCTCGTTTGGTGAAATAATTGACTGTAGCGAACTCGATAAGGGCGGAGAAGACGAACGTATAGCACACCGCCATAAACCAATCCATCGCTGTGGCGTAGGCAACCTTGGGCAGGGAGTTGCGTGCGCTGATACTCAGTGTTGTCATGGTCAAGACTGTAGTCACTCCTAAGGTTAAGAGAAAAGCTTTCATGAAAGCTGTACATAGTCACTGCACCCACAATTGAGGGATGGGGAGTCTACAAGATAAGGTTTAAAGCCTAGCTCCAGGCTATTTAATTTACAAAAAGGTCCCAGAGCAGCCTAAAAAAAGATGCAACATCCACCTTCAATGAGGAGCTGTCATGTGCAGTACTGTATTTTCTCCACAAGATGTCCTCAGTCTACCAGGTTGAACATCACCCGTTGTTATTCAACCCGGAAGACTGAGGACATACAGTGAATGCTGAGTCTTATGGGTGGATTCACAGTGCAGTCATGCAGAGAGTGGGGCCGATGTGGTCACATCAGAATTGCTCTCTGGATCTTCGAGAAAGGCCTACTGCTGGAGGAGGTCAGATGAGGAAGAGGACCTAGAAGGTACGTGTATATATATATATATATATAAAGAGCATGTGGGGCTTGCAGGACTTTAAGCAGTGTAAAAGTAAGTC